CTTCTTTCTCTCTTACTTGTTCTCTCCAAGGAGTGTATCTACCTCAGATAAATGCTCAACTAGTATGTCTGTCTACTGCTTGGCTGGAAGCTACAGGTGTGTTCAATTCCAGACCTGAAGGACAGCTAGGGGCCATAGTCTCAGTGGTTCCACCAGGCTCCATCGGGCCACTTTTTTTTTTTTCCAAATGATTTTGAGTTTTGTTCCACATTGTTCTCCCTGTCTATCCAGGATCTCCTACAAAAATCCTCTTCCAAGTGGTTGACAGTAGTAGTCGAGCACCATCTATTTCTTCTGGTCTCATACTCGTATAGGCTGCAGATTGGATGGTGTACCAGTCGCTAGGACTGATTGTTTCCATTAATTTTTGGTTTTCTTCATTATTCTTGGTCCTGGATAAGGAGAGACCCATCGCTGCATCTAGATGGCAGCTTGCAAGCTTTTAAGATCTCAGTCACTACTAGCCATAGTAGAAGGTGGAACAATGATTTGTGTAGTATGTTATGCCAATTGAGCTTGATGTCCTCTGGGACTATGGTCCCGAGCCCACAGGTTCAACTACTCAGTCCCTCTGGGTACCTGTCAGTGGTCAAGCAGTGACTAAAACCTTGTCCCTTGTCAGCCCCTTTATACACCTGGGAATTCAGATCATACACATGAAGTTATTGGACCACTGTCTGCCAACTTTATACATGTTCTTGGGTACACTCTCCACTTCATTTAGATACCTAATATTTCAGCCTGTCCACCCATCTATCCATCCATATACCTGTGTTTGCCTTCACTGAGCACGTCATATTATATGTGCAAAAGGGTTCATCTTTGTTTTCTGTACTTCCCACGTAGCTCTCTATGTCTTTCTCTTCCTCAATGCTACTATATTGATCACTTGCATTTGGTACATTGCCTTTTTCTTCACCCAAATCAAAACTTATCTCTAACAGTATTCCCTCCCCTCCCCTCCCACCCCTGGTAACCAACAAAGAAAATGACCTTCCATAGATAAGCGTTTCCTTGACTATTACAATAATGGACCAATACAATATTTGTCCTTTTGTGACTGACTTATTTCACTCAGCATAATGTCTTCCAAGTTCATCCACGTTATGCGGTGTTTTGCTGATTCTACATTATTCTTTAAGGTTGCATATATTCCATTGTGTGTATGTACCATAATTTGGATATCCATTCCTCAGTTGATGGGCACCTAGGTTGCTTCCATCTTTTGGCTATTGTAAATAGTGCTGCAATGAACATAGGTATGCATATGTCTGTTCTTGTCATGGCTCTCACTTCTTTAGGATATATACCTAGTAATGGAATGGCTGGGTCAAATGGTATTTCTAGTTCCAGCTTTTGAAGGAGTCACCATATTGTTTTCCATAATAGTTGTACCATTTTACAGTCCCACCAGCAGTGTGTAAGAGTCCCAATCTCTCCACATCTTCACCAGCATTTGTTATTTTCTGTGTAGCCTGACTTTATCAAGCTTTTGTAGCCACTTACTTGGTTTCAGAAAACCCTGTCCTTTACAGGGTAATTTTGGGGGATATTTAGAATGTACATGGTTGATGTTGTCCTGTGGGATTCATCATTCAGCAATATTTTAGTGTCATGCTCATGGGAGTGTGCCACAGATAAAAACACTGTCCATCATGTAAATCATTCTGAGATAGACAGAGGGTTAGGGTTAGAAATTCTGATTGCTTTAGAAAAGCTATCTCATAGATTAGTTGTGACATAAAATAAGGAAAAAGGTGCGATAGCTTGTGATCATACTATTTCTGATCATTTTCAAATAAAGCAACACCATTTGGAGCTGGATAACTTTAGAGTTTAGGATATAGCTCCCGTAACTGAATTTTCTCAATATGAGGATCAGGACCCATTTTTTAAGGGAAATCATATATGTTCTCATTTAGGGAATAAAAGAGTTAGATTAAATTATTTATCAGTTTAATCAATGGTCCAGACTCCTGGTGAATGACTTAATTTTTTTTCATTCTTTCAAAATACTTGGCATTAGAATTTTGAGGTGCTTTAAAATGCCATTATTTACTTTGTTTTAATGACCAGAAACTTCATGAGACAATACTGTCCCAAAAAGCCATTACACTTATTTAAGAATCTCATGTTACTCAATTCAAAAGAAATACCACTTAATTGCCAGATTAATAAAAACTTAAGAAAAGGGGTTCAAAGTTCATCCCAAGATAATTATCCTGCTTATAGTGGGATAAATATGGATGAAAATAATAGAAGGAAATTCAATGTACTAAATGTTGTACATTAATGTCGAAAACAGGAATGTTTAAAACATACTGCTAATGGTTAAAAATAATCTGTACTCCCAGTCCAATGACCATTTGCCAGGGAGAACCAAAGTTGAGAAACTTCTACTAAAAACATGACTCAGAGAGAAATATGCAGAGGCTGGTAATGAAGGAAATGTTCTGGTTTCTTTCCCAATTGGTCCTTCCTAAGATCACATGTTCTGGGCATCTTTAAAAGCAAGTTATCTGCACTCAAAAGGATCATAGCCCCTTCCTGAAGCTGCAGCTACTCTCACCTTGAAGAATAATCGTAGAAAGCTCACAAAATGTGTGATGCATTTGTAGGTACCTGGAAACTGGTCTCCAGTGAAAACTTTGATGATTACATGAAAGAAGTGGGTAAGGAAATTCTTATTTGATGACTTGACTTATAACTTTTTCTCTAGGGGAAAGGAGTTTATGGATGTTTTTCACTCTGGAAGCATTGATCAAAGATAAAAATGCTGTTTGCTATATGGAGTTTATACAAGTACTAAATAAGAATCATCAGTTTTTTGAGACATTCTGGGCCAAAGCCAGAACTCATACTTTATAAAGGTAAAATTGATAGGGAAAAGGGGCTAAAGGCAATTGGTACGATCTACAAAAATTGCAAGTTTTTACTTTAATTGCTAAACTTGGTTTTCTTGGGTTTATCTGGCTCTTTGCCTGTTTTTCTTTCATTCGCTCCTGTAATAGCTTGGGAGTAAATACATATTCATTTCATAGGATGCACTCATTTTCCTTTGAAACAGAAAACAATGTATTTCCCATCTTAATGTAGATGATTTTTTAATTTTTTTTTAACTAAATGTATGTTTACCCTATTACTGTATTGTTTTAATGTCAATCCATTAAATGTGTGGTTGTTTTATGGGTGTCAAAATCTTAGTTTTAGAAAGTACGTTTCTTAAAGGGCTTAAACACTTCTTTGATTAGAAATTACATGAGATGATATAGAATTGTTGAGTAATTCAAAGGTAGAGTGTTACATCCCTAACACCACCTCTTTGATAAAGAAGACTTTCAATGTTTTAAAATTCTCTTTATGTTGCCTCTGAATGTTCCTCAGATAAATATGAAAGTAAAGCTAGGGAGTAGGGAGGTGGGTTCCCACTGGGAAGCTCCTACCCTGAAAGGCCTCCCCCTACACTCTTATACATGGTAGTATCTGACACAGGGCTTAACAAATTGGAGAAGCACACTTAATTTATACACTATTTATTAGGGTTTAGAATTTAATTACTAAATCTCAAAAGACTTAACCCTCCCCTGGCTTATAGCATACATATTTTCCTTGTCTATAACTACTGTTTTTCTTGTTTACAGGCAAGAGGGAAATCAGGAACTTCAGCATGATTGAAATCTTAATTTCTAGAATATTAGCGAGTATCATCCAGTAAACTAATTAATATACTCTGATAGAGTAATGCCAGGATTTAGAGCCCTTATTTATTTTTAAAACATTTTATACTCTTAATATTAATCATTAAATTCCTAAAATTGAAAGTACTAATAATCATTAAATAAAATATTTCCTAAAATTAGGTAACTATAAGCTGCTCTAGTTGAAGATAAGCAGGCAAGAATCAACTTCAACAAATAAGGATTAAAAAAAAAAAGGATAGAATCAAGGAATTAGAGAAAATGATTTTTGCCATGGTAGGCCATTCTGAAAGCAAATGTGTTGCTTGACTTCAAGCACAGCATCCATTCACTATACTGACTCACTCCACAGATTTGATGTTATATTGTGTAACAGAGTCAGAATTTGATGAAGCAACACATTGTCTTCCCACCTGGGGCCACTTTTCTGACAGAGAGCTATATCAAAGCTGCAGCATCATTTGTTTTGTTCCTTAGATCTCTCCCAGTTCCCTGCTATTTTTAATCTTCAATACCCATAAGTAGTCTTTAGTCAAAGAAGTAGCTGAGATTTATGTGAAAATTTCAGCACATCAATGACTGTCATAAATTCTGCATCACATGTAGTCACAAGTTACCACTGTCAATGCTAGGTTATAAAATTTTCACCTCATATCTTAAAAAAAAAAAAAAAGAAGTTTGCAACTCAGGTGATTGGGAATCAAAGTATTTCTTTTTAAAATTATTGGAAATGTGATTGTTTAAATTTTCAAGTTTTCATAGCTGATGTCCAGATCCTCTCTGATGTTTCCTATTATTTATTGGGAACAGTACGGTCATTCCAAAATGGTATGAATGTATGAAACATTTTGCCTTTTGGAAAAATTAATCTAATTAAATTAAATTAAAATAAACTAGAAGACAAATCAAGAAAGTAGATGGACAGCAAGCACCGTGAAATATGATTCTCATCTATCCAGAATAGATGATCTTTGAACCGAATAACTCTATATTGGCAAAGCAAAACAAACCCTGCTAAGGATTCTCTTTGACTCTGGATTTGATCATTTTTATTATCTAAGAAGGTAAAGTTAAAATGCCTCAAGTATTTCACAAATTGAGTAAAATGATAGTGGCTGGCCAACAGGTTGAGATAGATGGTTAGTTTGAGAATACAGTGACTTCTTCCTTTTTAAAAACTTATTCCAGAAGACTTAACCTTTGTACATATTCTTGATGAAAATTAACAATGGGTCTCCTGATGAGTTACAGCCAGAACCAGATAACCAGACCCAAACCCACTGTCATCTAGTCAATTTTGACTCATAGAGATCCTATAAGAGAGAGAAGAACTGCCCTTATAGGGTACCATGGCTGAAAATCTTTACGGAAGCAGACTGCCTCATCTTTCTCCCATGGAGCAGCTGGTGGGCTTCAACCACTGTTTGGTTAGGAGCCGAATGCCTTAACCACTGTGCCACCCGAGCTCTTTGAATCAGATAAAGGAAAGCTCAATAAATGGGCTTATTATACCTCTCATGCCCCAGAGTTTTTCTAGATCTCTCACTATAGATGTGAAAAAAAAAAAAAAAAAAAAAAAAACACCCACCAAACTCACTTCTATCTAGTCGATTCCAACTCACAGCAACCCCTTTTCGAGTTTCTGAGGTGGTAAATAATTATGGAAGTAGATTGCTCAGTCTTCCTTTCATGGAGTGGCTGGTAGGTTTGAACTACCAATCTTCTGGTTAACAGTCAAATGCCTTAAGCACTACAACACCTGAGCTCCTTAGATGTGAAAGTGAATATAAAATCTGATCTCTTTCTTCCTTTTCTTTTCCCAACTATAGGAGTGGGCTTTGCCACTAGGAAAGTGGCTGGCATGGCCAAACCCAACATGATCATCAGTATGAACGGGGATGTGATCACCATTAGGTCAGAAAGTACCTTTAAAAATACTGAGATTTCCTTCCAACTGGGCCAGGAATTTGACGAAATCACTGCAGATGATAGGAAAGTCAAGGTGAGGAATACAGAATTGGTGTAAGCACCTAGTTTCTAAATGCTTGAAACAATCATTTCATAATAAAAGGAGGAAACTCTTCTATCACAGATAATGACCTCTTAGGTCTTAGACTTAAACCAAGTTGCCTTCAATATGTAGTTGGTGATTTTCCCCTCTTTTCATAAAGTTGTCCTTACGCTTTGAAAAATAAATAACATGATTTATTTATATGTATACCATACACAGAGTCCATGGTGTGAATAAAGTTACATAACAGTTTTAGAGAATATTTAGAAAAGAGAAGGAAAAAGAGAAAAAATTACCCATAATGCTACTATCTCAACATAAATGTATATTAATCATCTGCATTCCTTTACAATATTTTTTCAATGCTTGCTTATGTAAGATTCTAGTCATAATATACGTACAAGTGTGTATTCTGCTATTTTCTACACTTGTTTCCTCTTGTTGCAACATATTCTGGTCATTTATAATTACCAATGACCACAAAATATTCCTTTGAACAAAAGTATTGCATTCTTTACTTCATTATCCATCCTCACATCCAAATTTTTATCATTTTTTATTTTTCCTGCAGAGCATCATAACCTTAGAAGGGGGTGTCCTGGTACACATGCAGAAGTGGGATGGAAAATCAACTACTATTAGGAGAAAACGAGTGGATGACAAACTGGTTGTGGTGAGTATCTTCCAACCACTTAATTCTAGACCTTACTGCTAGATCAGGTCAGTCATTACTTTACCTAAAGAAACAGATAATGGTTTTTGATAATATAAAACAAAAAGATGATTTATTGAGATCATGCTTCCACTCTGGCAATTTTCTCATGCTTTTAACCTCAGCCTAAACATGTCATCCCTCAGGAAGAATTCCCTGACGTCCCTCTGGTATCCTGAGCCTGTCTCCGTTGGTGCACATACTACATTGCATTATGCATTTCTGTTTTTTTCTTCACCATATAGATTGCAAGACTGTTTGGGAGGATGACATATCTTCTTGGTCTTTGTTTGTGTTGTTGTCATGTGTCAACAATATCTTCCTAAATTATTGCAATATCAGTTACATAGGCACCAGAACAAATGTTTTTAATAAGAATATTATTTTTTCCTCATTTCAAGAGACTGAATAAATAAGTTGATTGTTCAGTCTAGTAATTGACCAAGAACTTCTTTTGTATCTAGGAATGTATCATGAAAGGCGTCACTTCCACCAGAGTTTATGAGAGAGCATAAGCCAAGGGCCATAGATCTGGACTGAAGTTTACATCGAATTCTACAGCATTCTGTTGGATGTATTGTTCAAACAGATATTGTCATTTTCAACTAATGAGCAAGCAACTAATGTCCCCTCAAACTGATTTTGTTCAGTATGGTTGTATTGGTTAAATAAACATTTTTAGATTTTGAATGTGATGTAATGATTTATTCATTGTGCTGGCTAACTTCATAATTGAATGAAGGAAATACAAAATTTTCATGATTGTTTTGTTTCTCATATAAGTGATACGATCTTTCGTAATAATCTAAAGGTAAAAAAGAATTTAATATTCATGTATGTTCCTTTTCTTAGGTAAAGAGATGATAAGTACATGCCATTACTGAATATAAAGTTCCTCTTTAGCATATCTATAGTTAAGTAAATATCTCTCAGAAACCTAATTTGTTGCATGAGTAGATGCTGACTCACAGTGACCCTATAGGATAGAGTAAAACTGCCTCATACAATTTCCAAGGCTGTAATCCTTATGGAAGCATATAGCCACATCTTTCTCTAGAGAGCAGCTGGTGGGTTGGAACTGCTGACCTTTGGGCTAGCAGCTGAACACTTAACCCCTGCATCAAAATAGCTCCTTCAGAAATCTAAGGTAAATGTAGTAACATTGTCCACATTCAGCTGGTCCAAGTTTTTATTACATCTCACACTTGCCTGTCCACAACATTGAGACAGAAATGTTCAGTAGTAATGCGTAATGGAGAAAAAGCTTTTTTAGGCCCTAAGCATCGGTTTTAAAAATTATGAGTAAACTAAGCTGTCTTTGAAATCTCTAGAGTCCAGTGCAAATAATTCCAAAATACTCATTCTAGAAAAGAGATGACAGTCTTGTATATGAGTAAAGGTTCAAATATTTAATAGTTTTCAAAACTATTTTTTTCATTACCAGAAGTTTTTATTGAAATAATATCTTGAATATGTTCTGGACTTAGTATTCAAATAAAATATCCATGGAATCCCAAAAGACAAAACAGACAAAAATGATAATGAGGTTTCTCAGGTAATGTGTGTGTGTGTTACGAGTTCTGGTGACACAGTGATTAAAGCATTTGGCTGATAACCAAAAGGATGGCAGTTGGAACACATAGCCATTCCACGAGAAAGATGAAGCAGTCTACTTCCATGGATTTACAGCCGTGGAAACCCTATGGGGTATTTTACTCTGTTCTAAAGGGTCTCTGTGAGCCAGAATTGACTCGATGGCAGTGGGTTTGGTGTGTGTTTATCTTGCCTTTTGTGGAAGCTATGAAGCACCTCTATAGATCCTTGGGTTTCCGTGTACATAGGTTAAAACTTCCAAACCACATATTTACATTTCATAGTCAGCCAAAACCTGTTAAAGTATGCTATAGGTGATATAATTATGATTGTAATACTGCCTTTAAAAAATGAGCCCCAGAGATATTTATTCATTTTCTGACATTTTATCTGAGCGGTGCAACTGGTTTGTTCTCCTCTAAAGGTTAGCAGATAAAACTGACCCAGCAACACCAGGAAGAAAAGCCTAGCAACTTGCTTCTGTAAAGACAGTAGCCAAGAACACCTTATGAAGTAGTTCTACTATGTAATACATGGGGTTGCATTAGTCAGAATCAACTTGGCAGCAATAGGTTTGGTTTGGCTTTTATCGTGTGTGTGCTACTGTGATAATAATCAGAAAATGAGTCCACCTCTTCTGAAGAGACCAGAAAAAGCAGACTTATTTCTTGATCATTAGAATGTATTTGCTTCACAAAACAGAAATTAAGACTCTCACCTTAGGCTCTCAAGAAGATCAAAGAACTCAAAAAGAAAATATTTCTAGTGACTGATTAAGACAATAATCAGAAGTCTGGAAGTTCAAACCCACCAACCACTCCTCAGAAGAAAGGTTGGGCAATCTACTTCCGCAGTGATACGGCCTCAGAAACCCAAGGAGGGGTCACTATGAGTCAGGACTGACTCTATGGCAGTGAGTCTGTTTGGTTTTTACTATGGTGCTTATGACTTTACATACAACTATGAATCTATCCATCCATTCATACACCTGTCCTATCTTAATCTAGAACATATTCAAAATGATTTAGATACAGTAAAAAAAACAGAAAATGCCAGGAAGAAGAAGAACAAAGACAACAGCTACAATTGAGAGCAACTCAAAGACAAGGATTGTGTTATATTTATAGCTGTATCCCCAGAACCTAGCACAGAGAACAGTGGAGTCAAGGCTTAAGTAAACATTCTTGAATGAATGGATAATCCCTGTGCTCTGTACTGTAAGGAACACAGAAAGAATGACAGCTCATGCTCATGCCCTCAATACAATGGATAATTAGCATGAACAGAATCACCTCACCTGGGAAAATTCCTCTGACAGCTCTTCCTCAGCCTTCATCTTCCCCCATCCTCAAATCCAGATATGGTTATATGCTTCCTGCTGCTATGAACTCCAAACAATGTGTGTATTCTCACTCTAACATTATCTGCAATATTACAACATTTTGTGTTCACCTTTCTCATTCAGTAGGTTATAATGTCTCTGGAGCAGGCCACTTATATGTACCATCCAGAATCCAACACAGCACCTGAAACATGGTAACTGCTCAATAAACTGCAGTGGAATGAATGAAGACACAATATTTGAAGGTCATGAATTAGATGTTAAATGGTGTGGTATATATTATGGGTGAAGGAAGCCAGAGGTGAGCAGGACCAATGTGCTGGAGTAGTTGAGTATGTATTTGAACTGGGCAATGAAGCATAACTATGGAGTAACCCAACAGACAGTCTCTCAACCACGTGATTGAAGTTAGCATCACCCAAAATTGGGCAAATCAACATTGCATACGTTCTAATATGACACAGTGACAATAGCAGAGTATCACTTCTGTGGTTTTATTGACCAAAATGCATACTTAGCAGAAACATACAACCCCAACTAATGATTATTCTATAAAGCAACTGGCTTTATATGCTTCAAAGCTGTGAAGGTCATTAAAGACAAGGGAAGACTAAAGGTCTGCTTCTGATTGAAGGAGACTAAAGAGGCGTAACAGTTGAATGCAGCGCATGATCATGGATAAGACCTTTATCTTGGGTCAGAAAGAAAAGAGGAAAAGGAGAATTTTTTTTTTCCCCTTGTGGGGAAAGGAAAAACTGTTGGGGCAATTGGTGAGTTTGAGTAGCATCTGGATTGGATGGTAAGGTAGTATTGTTATCAATGTTGATTTCCTGATTTGGATGTATATACTATGCATATACCGTAGAATGGATATTGCTATAATGCTGAATATACTTCTGCAGAGCTCCCAGACAACAATGGACTATGGAAAAAGCCTGGTGATTTACTTCCAAAAAAACAGCCAACGAAAACTCCATGGATTGCAACTGTTAGATATGCAAGTGCTCGTGGGATGGCACGGCAATGTTTTGTTCAGTTATGCATGGGTTGTCCATGAGTCAGGGCTGACTTGAGGACAGCTAACAACAACAGTAAGAGATGGATTTGTTTTGTACTGCAGAAGAAATAATCAGGATGTTTTCATGTTAAAATTATGTATTTGCTCAATATTGATTTGGCATGATTGTTTTAAGCAAAATTCATGCCATAAGAAAAATGATGCAATAACCAAAACAATGTAAAAATTCTCTCAAACGCATGGCACAGATTGAAATTAGTTGCAGAAGTGATGATCTGCATGAAAAATGTATCATTTATACTAAGCAAATTATACCAATGTCTCCCATGTAGAAAATACTAGCAAATGGAGGGCTGAATATTTCAGTGGTAAACCTCATATTCAGAACATTTGTTACCCAAAACTAAACTTCAAAGTTTTTTCTGGATACAATTTTTCAAAAGAAAAAATTATACCACTGGGAAAGTAACATGATCTTTTCACCTTTCTAAATTAAATGCACAATTTGAAGAATTATTATAAATGTGAACTATGACATTTATGTAAACACTCATGACTGAATTTAATAGGAGGAATGTAGTAACGAATTGAAGGAAAATCATTGCCTGTGGAAATAAAAACCTTAAGATCTGGTATAACTCCCACTATTTTATGTGCAATTATAAATTACCAGACATATTTCTGAATACTTTTGTAGCTCTCAAGTACATGTTTAATTTTGTTGTTGTTGTTATGTGCCGTCGAGTTGGAGCTGAATCATAGCGACCCCTCCTTGGGTTTCCGAGGCAGTATCACTACGGAAGTAGATTGCCCCATCTTCCTTCCGAGGAGTGGCTGGTGGGTTTGAACCACCAGCCTTCTGGTTAGCAGTCAAGTGCCTTAGGCACTACGCTGCCAGAGCTCCCAATGTTTAATTTTACCAATACCCAATTAACATTTGACTACTAGGTGAAAGGTTGGTGGTTCAAACCCATCCAGAGGCACTTCAGAAAATAGGCCTGGAAATCTGCTTCTGAAAAGTTACAGCTTTGAAAACCCTATGAAGCCATTCTATTCTGCATACATGGGATCACCATGAGTTGGAAATGAATCAATAGCAACTAACAACAAATGCCTAAAATGTCACAAGAAAGAATATTACTTTTAAAAACTAGATTTTAGAGGAGCATATAAAAATGAGATAGTGGAGAAGTAAACATTGAAATGTCCTGAAACCAAGACATATGTTTTGATTACCTAATGCTGCTCTGACACAAATATACCACAAATGGGTGGCTTGAACAAACAGTAGTTTATTCTCTTACAGTTTTGGAAGCTGGAAGTCTGAGTTCAAAGTGCCAGGCTCTAGCAGCTGGGTGAAAGCCCCTAGGCCTTAGGTTTCAGCTTTGCCTCTTGCTATGGCCCACTGGGGAGCTCTGGTAGTGTAGTGGCTAAGGCATTTGACTGCTAACCAGAAGTCTGGTGGTTCAAACCCACCAGTCACTCCTCGAAAGGAAGGTTGGGCCACCTACTTCTGTAGTGATACTGCCTTGGAAACCCAAGGAGGGGTCACCATGAGTCGGGTCCAACTTGATGGCACATAACAACAACAACATGGCCTACTGAAGCTGAGGGCTTTCTTCACTCAAGCACCTGCTAGCTGCTGATGCTGACCAACCAAAGTTGACAAGCGAGAAGGCACGGTTCTGATATTATCAAACCACATGGCAGGGCATTAATTTAAGTCCATTAACAATCTGAAGATCACCAGACAACATGGTAGGCTGCTGAACGACAACTTGGCTACGTGCAGGATTCAAGCTCGCCAAAAGCTGCAGACCATTCCCAAAGTTTCTCCTTATGTACAGAAAGCAGACCACATCCCTAAAGCAGCTACTCAGCTGCTCACAGTAGATTCCACCATAGAGTTGATCACCAGTCTCATCATGGGGAATACTACATCCGGCTGCCCAGCCACTCAAAACCAGGCCCAGCCAAGTTGACACACAACCTTAATTACCACACATATAATTATTTTGTAACAAATTATCATATTCTAATTTCTTTGCTAGGATTAAAAATTGGGAACATTATAACTTTAAAAGGTTTTTGCATGAGGAGGTGGTGGCCTCATGGTGGTAGCAGCAGGAATAAGAGAACTTTCTTGAGAAGGGAGAGACTTGTATAGTAATAATTGGACACTGATCAAAGAAGAAGGAACTCTGGGAATCCTTCCACCATTTGACAATAATCAAATGAAAGGAGCAGGTCAGGAGAGGGTAATGTATTAAAACCTTGTATTTAGTCACTGTTAGACATAAAGAACACTAATGAGGAGAGCTGTCAATTAAAAGGGAATAAATAATTAATTATTTGTTCCTTTTTTTCACTCATTCATAAAACATTTATTAAGCATCTGCAATATACACTGTTCTAGGGATATAGAGATGAATAAGAAATACTACTCATGCAATAGCTCAAAGAACGATAGGGGATAATAAGTTGCAGTGCTCTGAGATAAATTCTGTTAATATGTTGTTGCTGTGTCCAGTCAATTCCAAGTCATAGCAATCCTATAGGACAGAATAGAACTGTTTCCAAGGCTGTAATCTTTGCAGAAGCAGACTTACTAAGAGTACAGCCTTTGAAACTCTATGGGCAGTTCTACTCTGTCTTATAAGGTTGCTAAGAGTCAGAATCAACTCGATGGCAATGGGGTTAATCTTGACGGGAAGCTGCCTGTCACATCTTTCTCCTGCAGAGCTGCTGGTGGATTCAATCGGTCAAACTTTTGGTTAGAAGCCCATTGTTTAACCACTGCTTCAGCCACCAGGGCAAGTACAATTGTATCACTTATTAGAGATCAACTGACTCTGAACCAGTTTCTTCCCAGAGGAGGAGAAGCTTGAGTTAGATTGGGAAAGATGGGAAGATGCTGCACACAAGTTCAACTGCATGTGACACAATTGGTTGTTTTGGAACTCCAAATTGCCATTGCTTTTATAAAAAGCATATCCATTAGGAAGGTTTACATTGCAAATAGTAAAAACTCAGACACAAAACTGCTTAAATAATAATGGAATTTATTGCTGACATAACAGAAATTGCAGGAGTAAAGTGGTCCTCAGTTCTCACTTTTCTGCTCTGTCATTGTGAGCTCTGGCTTCATCTTTAGGTTGGTAACACAAAGGCTGCATCAGTTCTAGATACCATTTAAAGACATGAAATGTGCAGAGGAAGGAAAGGGACCACCTCTCTTCTGATTCTCTCCTAGGACTGAGGAAAATATATCGCAGCCAGAAACTTGAGTTTCCTTTTTTTCTCATGAGCCAACTGAGTTTTCAAACAGGCCACAGGATTAATTTCTGATTCAGTCCACAGAAGGGAAATAGAAACAACAAGAATGGTTACAGTGATGGAAAATCTTTGTGACACCACCCCACAGGCAAATATGCACAGCCAAGTATATTTGCTATTTTTCAAGTACGGAGTGAATCTACATCAAGTCCCAGAAAAACAAATTCTAGTTTGAACATGATCTTTGAGTCACTGTCAGCGGCTGAAGCACTGATTCTGACCATACGTCTCAGTTTCCTGAAATTACCTCTAAGGTTTTTGCTTACCCTGTTTTTCCTCTCTAGATATTTTAGTAACTCTACTCTACCAGTTACTATCTCACATAACAAAATTTATTCTTTACAACAGGTAAAAAAAAAATTCTTTATTCCACTTAAGCAATTATGTTGCCATGCCAAACCATAAACCTCTTTTTTTGTTTTGCCTACAGAGAGATGGTTTGAATAAATATTTTTCTGAATTTAAAGAATATTTGACAGGAAACAGACAATAGTATGAATATTCTTCTTGTTGCCACTGGCACCCTAACTTTCCAGCCATCTTCAAAACAATTGAATTTCAAAGCTGGGAAGGAAATTCATAGATTCTGAATCCAATCCTCTTTAGTAAGCTAACTAAATAAATACCTGCAAAGTTCTCTTCTATTGGGTTGCAGAGGATGGTTTCAGAATTAATTATACAGAGATTTAAATTATTTACTGCTTTTTTTGTTTTAGAACACAGATGTCAAAATACTATATTTCTCCCTAAAATTTCCCAACATTTTCTCACAATTTCAAGTGATATCTTTTAAGATCAAGATTACTTTGTAAGCCTAAAAGATGAATTTTCCAATCATTAGCTCAACCTCCTTTTTAGGGCTTAAATCACAAACCACAGCTTAGTGAGAATTGTCACCTTTCTCCTCAGTCCTCAATTACCCTTGATTAACATCAATGATTATATTAATAATACCCTACACTTTGCTCAAAGGAACTGTTACATTAAATAATATCAATCCATCAAGCCTGCAAGGAAGGAAAGATATTATTTTAATGAAGAGGATACTCTGCCACTGGGACTTACCCAAACAGAAAACAGCTGAGCTGGATCAAGCAAGGATGTACTTGTCTTTGGTAAGAAAATATTTTAGTCAGGTGTTCATTATGCATTTGTTGGGATGTTCCTTCAGAGTTGATTCAGCATTTACTTGAAAAGGCTGATCTCTATTGAAAATTGTTTACATTGCACAAGAAATATTTAACAGGTTACCCTTGGGTGTAAGTCTCCTCAGTACAAGCTATAATCATTGACCCCAATTCAACTTTACATGCTAATTTTCTTTTTCTTAATTTGGAGGTAAATAAAATGAGTCAAATGTTGTTACCTAGAGTCTTCACTCTTGTTGCTGCCAATTGGTCATTTCAGAAGATCCATGTGATAAAGATGCTCTTTAAACTAAGGTACCGGTAACACTGTACAGCCTACATTTATTTATTTGGCTCTCAGTTGTAAGTGCCTCTTCTCAGCAAGCTTTCCATGATGGTTGAGCCCTTCTTGGGAACTTGGGAGCTGGTCTCCAGTGAAAACTTTGAGGATTACATGAAAGAACTGGGTGAGAAATGGCATTATAGTATTTGCAAACTAGCCAAGCATATTGTGGTGTGCTTGGGCTTGCACTTTACAACGAACTTTCCTGCAATTCTTTCTTTTCTTTCGTAATCTTTATATATTCATATGATACTAACATAGATTACATGCCTTTTCTTATTCCTAGTAATAATTTCCTCTTTTGGAATACTGTTGTTGTTGTTGTTTTATGTGCCATCGAGTCAGACCTGACTCACAGCGACCCCTCCTTGGGTTTCGGAGGTGGTATCACTACAGAAGTAGATTGCCCAACTTTCCTTCCGAGGAGTAGCTGGTGGGTTTGAACTGCCAGCCTTCTGGTTACCAGTCAAGTGCCTTAGGCACTACGCTACCAGAGCTCCTTTTGGAATACTAGGCTCACATATACCTCTTTCTAATCATAATCCATATTTTAAGGGGCAGTTATCCTTTATAAATGTGTTTATCTAAACCTCTTGGTAGAGTCTCTCTTTTGCTTTATCATTACATCAAATAGCTTTTTCTAGGTATAAATTTATATGCAGTAATCACTATCACTATCTAAACTATATTTGTCAATTAAATTTCTTTTCAAATTTCCTTTAAGCTAAAGCTTTCCAAGAGTAATAACAGCAAGTAAAATTTCTAGTTGGTTAATCTCACAATTCTGATATATGTGGGAGACATTTAAAAAACATAATTTTAAAAAATTTTGAATTTTGATGGAAATAATTGAACATTTATACTCATTGACTATCTCACCACTGGTTATTTTTGTGAAGTATGAGTTTCATTTATCCTTTTTCTGTTATTCAAGCTGAATATTTAACAATCAATTACAATTACTTGGCTATTTAATAGCTAAACTCTTTGTTTCATTTTTCTAGTTACTAACAGGACAGTGATTATTTAATATTTTCATACTTAGTCATAGGAAAACTTACATGCTATAATAAACTATATACAAAACCAAAGGTTTTTTAAAACTTTGTTGAGTTCATCAATAGATGCTTAAAAATATTATTTGAAATAAAAAATATTATTTGATATGTTCGCTATTCTAGGCAACCACACAACAATACCTCATGTCCAATATAAGAAGTTAATGTACTTATAAATGTAATGTGTATTCTTTTTCACAGTCAGTGTTATCTTTCTCAGGGAGTAATATGAGTCATGTTTCCCTCTCTCTTCATGTACTCTTATACTCACTTGTTTTGAGTTTAAATTTGAGGGCATATAAGAAAGTTGAGGCCTAAAATATGGCATGGGGCTTGTGAAAATGGTGTGGAGGCAACATTTGACCTCCTTTGATTAATTTCACAAGAAGGGAGGAGGATCAACATCAGTATAACAGCCCAAGGCTGATTCCTATGATGCAGAGTTCAGAAAGGATGCCACCTTCCAAACTTTTTACCATTTTGACACCAATCATTGCCCCCCACCCCATAGCATTCTCTATTTCTCTGCTGGGTTTGATAATTGTTGCAGTGGCCACACAGAACTCACAGATGATACTTACAATTATGAGGTTTATTAGAGAATTAACAGGTTATAACTCAGGATCAGGAATGCTCAGGATACAGTTCTTTGATCCAGACAGCCTCCTCTCAGCTGTGCCCAAAGGCAGGTCTCTCTGGCCCTTGGCCTCTTGGTCTCATGGTCTAGCCTCTGCCCTGATTGAGCAAATGTTGCAGAGCTCTTTTAGCTCTTCCTCTGCCAGAGGCACCCCACTCTGCCAGCAAGCCTACTGCCTGAGCCACTTAGCTTTCTCCTCCTCTGGGCCAGGAGGCCCACTGTACTGCCTGTTGCTAGGTCTGCGGCCATCGTTCCTCTGTCACTGCCTCTTACTATCTCTTGCCAGCTTGGCAGTGTTATAGTTCTCTGTCACCTGGGTTCAGCACAGGGATCTCAGGTCTACTCCTGTCTCTTCTTTCTTGATGGTAGTGAGAGTCCCCCTTTCTGTTTCTAGAATGGCTCATTTTAAGCACAGTGGGATGGCAAAACTGACCAATCCTCATGTTAAGATTCCATATATCTTATTTCCATGGTCCCACCCACACAAAAATACCCTACCCCTTATTTACATTGTTAGCAAGTTGTCCATTCCCCTTGGTGGGCCACAAGCACCTCACATTTTCATAGTCTAACCCAATCATTTGATGGGAGTAACAACTAGCCTCTGTTGAGTACCTACTATGTGCCAGTACTGTGCTAAGTTCTTTCATTTAACCTAACACATCAATAAGATAAGCGCCTAAGCCATCTACATTTTACTTTGACAAAGTTGAAAGTTAGACAAGGTAAGTGAAACTACCAAATGTCAAAGTTGTAGGCTTGAGTGTTAATCATGGTATTCTTCTGAGTGCTGTATGTTTCTAACACTGATTCTTTACAGTCAGACACTTCACGTCAGTTCCACAACCTGAAGATGAAACAAAATTGGAAATCAACAGAGAGAGAGTAGTTAACTCTTCTGCGCAGCCATTGTCAGAGTCGCATTTGACAATGGAAAATTCCCAGCCTGAACAATGCCAGATGCAAAGCCAAATGATCCAGTTTGCTTGCCTCCTTTTTACTCCATCAGGTCTACATTTAATCTTCAAACGAGAGAGACGTTTGGATGCTATTGAGTCATATACTTTCAGAGTAGTTTAGGTAGTTAAAAAGCTGTGTTTTCTTTTTTTAAAAAATTGGTATGATGGCAAATGCCCTGGGCAGATGATCTAGAAAACTTGTGTTTAAATCTCAGCTCTGCTATTATCAGATTCACAACCCAGAATAAGTCTCTCTGCCTCCCTGGGACACCATGTACTCATATCTAAAATGAGGATAATAACAACCCTGTACTGTCATTGTAATATTTTACTTTATAATCTGAAAGGCACCATGCAAATATACATTATTATTGTTAGGTCTTAGAAGTCTCTTTTATTGGCCATCTGTGAAAATATAGATTTTAGATGAAGCACAGAATTCTAGAAAAGGGAATTTAGCTTTTCAAAATGTCATATATACTCATTAGACAAAACTTATGATTGGGAGGTTTAAAATCAGGAAAGCTGTGTGTCAGCGTTTTATCTTTACACCATACTTATTCAATCTATATGTTAAATATTCAAAAAGCTGGACTATATAAAGAAGAATGCAGCATCAGGATTGGAGGAAGACCCTTAACAACTTGAAATATACAAATGATTCAACCTTGCTTGCCGAAAACAAAGAAGGCTTGAAGCACTTACTGATGAAGATCAAAGACTACAGCTTTCAGGATGGATTACACCTCAACATAAAAAAATCCTCACAACTGGGACAGTAAATAATAACATGATAAATGGAGAAAAGTTTGCCAAGGATGTGTTTTACTTGGATCCATAGTAAATGCCCAAAGAAGCATCAGTCAAGAAATGATATTACATTGGGCAATTCAACTGCAACAGACCTCTTTAAAATGTTGAAAAGTAAAAATGTCATTTTGAGAACTAAGGTGTGCCTGACTCAAGCCATGATATTTTCAATCACTTCCTATGCAGGAGAAAGCTGGACAATGAAAAAGGAAGATGGAAGAATTCATGCTTTTGAATTATGATGTTGGCAAAGAATACTGAACATAGCATGGAATGCCAGAAGAACAAACAAATCTGTCTTGGAAGAAGTACAACCAGAACACTCGTTAGGAGCGAGGATGGAGAGATTTCATCTCATGTACTTTGGTAATGCTGTGAGGAGGGACCAGTCCCTGGAGAAGGACATGATGCTTGGTAAAGTAGAGGATCAATTAAAAAAAAAAAAAGGAAGCTCCTGAGTAAGATTGATTGGCACAGTGGATGCAACAATGGGTTCAAACATACCAACGATTGTGAGGAAGGTACAGGCACAGACAGTATTTCAATCCGTTGTACATAGGATCGCTATGAGTAAAAACTCCCTCAATGGCGCCTAACTACAGTAGAAACAAGATTGAGAGCACAGAGAGTGTAAAAGAAGCAACAGCACATTATTCAAAATCTCAATGAGGAAAGTATGCATTATTTTGTTTATTTATATTTTAACTGTAATTTGGGTGAAAGTTTACAGAGCAAAGTGGTTTTCCATTCAACAATTCATACACATTTTGTTTTGGGACATTTGCTGCAATCCCCACTTCCTCCCTGTATTTACTATTTCCCTCCATCCCTTTCTCCTATCCTTTCCTGCCTTCTTAGCTTTATCCCTGGGCAAAGGCTGCCATTTTGATCTCATGGTTGATTGTTCTACTGAATGTGTACCTCCCTAGTGTTATTATTTCCTTTTAGTCCTGTGCATCATTTAGCTGAAAATTGAGCCACGGGGGTGAGTTCATTCCAGGCTTGATGCATATCTGAGGGCCATAGTCTCCGAGATTCTACTAACCTCTGTCAGACCAGTAAACTGCCCCCCCCCCTTTTTTTTGAGTTTTGTTCCACACTTTTCTCCTACTCTACCAGGACCTCCTATTGTGATTCCTTGCAGAGTAGCCAGCAGTGGTAACTGGGCACCATCTAATCCTTCTGGTGTGGAGTCACGGAGGCTGAGGTTCATGTGGTCCATTAGTCCTTTAGACTAATAGTTCCCTTGCATCTTTGATTTTCTTCTCTCTTTTGCTCCAGACAGGGAGAGGCCAATAGTTGCACCTTAGATGTCAGTTGACAAACTTTTTAATACCCATTCTTCTCAAAGTGCTTTCCAAACTAATTGTTAACACTTCCTCCTCAATGTCTTCAGGTATGTCACTTTCTCTACCTTACAGGAGTGAGCTTTGCAACCCGGAACATAGCTGGATTAGCGAAGCCAAGTGTCAGTATTAGTGTTGACGGGGATGTGGTGAGCATTGGAACAGAAAGTTCTTTCAAGAATACTTTGATCACCTTTAAGCTGGGGGAGGAGTTTGAGGAGACCACAGCAGACAACCGGAAAGTGAAGGTGAGAACTAAGTCTTCCTGGTGTTCAGCAATCAAGGAAACACTGGAAAGTGGTTATATGTGGTTGTTCATAGCTTAATAATTAGATTGAGGTGTTTTTTTTTTTGTCATCAACTCAGTTGGGGCTTGTTTTGTTGGTTAATGTCTGCATATATCTAAAATCAACTTTTTGTTAATTATTCTGATAGTTAACAGGCAAAACACTAAAAATTGTTTCACTTTTTTTTTTCCTGATCTCTCTCATGTGGAACTGCATATAGAAGAGAACAATCAAGCATAAATAGCTTACATATTGCTTGCCTAGAGGTGGGGGGCATTAATTGGATAATTTCTTAAGGCTTCTCCCAATTTGATGGTATTAAATTATTGCAAGAACATTGAACCACTGACCTTTTGGTTACCAGCCAATGCTTTAACCACTCTACCACCAAAACCAAAAAACCAAACTCACTGCCACTGAGTTGGATCTGACTCATAGTGACCCTTCCTTGCATTTCCAAGGTGGTATCTCTACAGAAGTAGATTGCCCAATCTTCCTTCCAAGGAGTGGTTGGTGGATTTGAACCATCAACCTTCTAGTTAGCAGTCAAATGCCTTAGGCACTATGCTACTAGAGCTCCTATACCAACAGAGCTCCTAAATTTTGACAAGAGCAGGGTGTGGATTTTGAATAAAATAATTTCAAAATGGAAAAAAAGAGTAGATGTCTAGTTTTATGTACTCACCCATCCAGTAGATTCTGACTCATAACAACCGCCATTGGGCTTCCAAGGCTATAAATCTTTATAGAAGTAGATTGTCTCATCTTACTCCCACCGAGCAGCTGGTGGTTTTGGACCACCTACCTTCCAATTAGCAGCCAAATGTCTTCCTCACTGCGCCACCAGAGCCCTTTCTAGTCTTGTGTAGGTTAGGATTTAGTGAATTACTATTTCTAACTGATTCTTTTATGCTTTTATAGAGCATCATAACATTAGACAGTGGCTCAATGATTCAGGTTCAAAAGTGGCTCGGCAAAGAGACAACAATCAAAAGACGAATTGTAGATGGGAAAATGATAGTGGTGAGTTTTCTCTAAATAGAAATTTTCAATGCTTCTTTTTGATACATTCCTTTCATGGGGCTCAATTATTTCTGCACCTGAATTGAGGATTTGTTCTGGGGAGAGAGAGGAAGGGCAAGTTTAACCTATCATCTACCAATGCTAATAGATCCTTCTTTGCTTTTAGGAATGTACCATGAATAATGTTGTCAGTACTAGAGTCTACCAAAAGGTGTGAAGAAAGCCTCTTCATCAGTAATCATGTCTTCACTGGTATTTGAACAGGAAATTGGTACTTGAAGAAGATATGCCTCAGGACCAGCGATTAAAAAAAAAAAAAAAAAAAAAGATGCCACATAGATTTGCTCAATAAAAGCATCAAATTAAGTGCAATTTTGCAGCCGTGTGATGTTGAAGGTTAGGCTCAGTCTGATGAGTTGGTGAGGCAAGAAGCTACTTGGTTATGGTGTAATTATAAGAGCACTAAATCTCCTTTCTCCTCTGCCCGTCGGACTTCCATAGTTCTTGAGTTTCCTTTAATGGAACCATTCCATTTAGGTTGAGGCATTCTTTCAAAAAGACTTCTATTGAAATTCATGTGACCTAGAAGGGGATGCAGTTTCTGCATGGTGCGAATTATTAATGCTCTGGCTTCTAACCCCAAATTTGGCCATTCAAGTCCACCTAGAGTGCCTTACACAAAAGGCCTTGTATTCTATTTTCAAAAAACCATCCATTGAAAATCCTATAGAGCAAGCTCTTCTTAACACACATGAGGGTCACCATGAGTCAGAAATGACTCAATGGAAACTGGTTTAGTAGGGTGTAGATTAGAATCATTGGAACCTACTTTGGGCAGCACAAATGTCAAAAACCAATATTGCTGATTTTTTTTTTTATTTTTGCAAAAGTCTATTTCTGCCAAAAGCTGATGGGTAGGTGATAGAAAATAAATAGATAGATACATAGAGAGAGTAAAAATAGGATTTGGACATTATGCACTATAGTTGTGTTGTTATAGAAGAATAATTTAAACAACCGTTGTTTCACCCACAAATCTATTTAAATAATGAGGCTAGTGCATCTGTCACCATTTACAATTTAGCCTTTGTAAGATGACATTAAATGCCAGTCCATCATGCTTGGTGAAGTAAATGGTCAGCAAAAAAAAAAAAAAAAGATCTTGTGTCAACAAGATGGGTTGGCACGGTAAGGTAATCACAACAATGTACTCAAGCATAGAATACATTGTGAGGGTGGCTCGAGACTGAGCTGTTTTGTTCTGTTGTGCATGAGGTCCCTGTGAGATGAAAATGACTTAACAGCACCTAACAACAACAACAAGATTATTGTTATAGTTACACCAAGTCCCTAATGCTTTCACCAAATGCTGTTGCTAGTGATTGGTACTCTCAGTGCTTAGAGCAAAACGGAGCAATGTGGGTAAAACTAAAGGGTAAAAAGCCTCAAAACAGAGGGCATTTGTAGCAGAAGGTGGAGGAAAAGGAGAAATGTTGTAAATATCATGTTGCACCTTAAATTTTAAAATAGCTACTAATTGGTCAAAATCTGCCCCTTTGTTGTTGTTATGTGCCGTCGAGTCGGCCCCGACTCATAGTGACCCCTCCTTGGGTTTCCGAGGCAGTATCACTACGGAAGTAGGATTGCCCAACCTTCCTTCCGACGAGTGGCTGGTGGGTTTGAACCGCCAGCCTTCTGGTTAGCAGTCAAACGTCTTAGGCACTATGCTACCAGAGCTCCCAAATCTGCCCCTAGAATCATGTTTAATATATGGATTATAGTAGAATATCAGCTGTGTCATACAAGCTGGGTGAGAAATGAGAAGGGACACAAAATAATCACATCTGGACAATAGGAATACAATGAAACTATCTTAGGCAAACTGGATATATAGTCAGCTTCAAAAAACCCAAACCCACTGCCATCGAGACAATTCCAACTCATAGTGACCCTCATTGGGCTTCTGAGGCTGTAAATCTTTATAGAAGTAGATCACCCCATCTTTCTTCCATGGAGCAGCTGTGGGTTTGAACTACTGACCCAGTTAGCAGCCAAATGCCTTAGTGAGGGTGGAATTGAAGGGTAATGCACAAAAGGACTGACACATAGGGTTGGGGAATGACAGGCCAAGGATAGGATCAAGGGTTGTTATACACAAATCCTGAAGACCTCTGTGCATTCAGCTGTCACCAGAAGTGATGGGCTTGGTGGTGGCCATGCAGCTGCCTGGTGTGGACCATGAGAGTCATCCTCATCTGACTTGTCTTTCTCCTTCCTAAGGAACTCACTCACCCATTGCCACTGAGTCAATTCTGACTCATAGTGACCATACAGGACAGATTAGAATTGCCCTCATAGAGTTTCCAAAGCTATAAATCTTTATGGAAGCAGATTACTTCATCTTTTTTTCCACAGAGGAGCAATTAAGTTGAAACCTCAGGCTGTTTGGTTAGCAACCTAATGCCTTAACTACTGCGCTACTGGAGTTCCTTTAAGGAATCCATGTGAGTAGAAAATGCAACAGTGCTTGCTCTCCAGAAATCAGAGAGGATTTCAGCTACCAATGTGGTGGTCTGTGCACAAAGGGAGAGCAGGCCAGTGGCTCTATAAGCAGAGGACAGTCTGCATGAAGGGCAAGCCCTCCAGCAACTCCTCAAAGCAAGGGTCCAAACGTCACCCATCTTCATGAGGAAGAAGTAACTCAAATAACTTAAAAAACTTAACAATTTATTAACTTAAGTCATAACTTAAAAGAACTAGGCATTTCTTTAAATATTTGGCTTTAATTAACTAATTTAATTATTCAATCTTTCATTAAGAAAAGACTAATACAGTTCTGGGTCTTCAAACTTGTTTGCCTTCTCATAAACATCACAGCTATAAGTACAGTCTGAATGAGAAACAAAGCCCTGAATATTTTATGCAGTAGAACCAAGCATACTCCTCCTGAGGGAATCATTCACTCAAACATTCTACAAGTTCTTAGTCAGGGACCACTATGTGTACAGCACCATGTTGGGTGCTATGAATACAGCAAGGAATTAGAGAAGGTCCCTACCTTTACGGCATTCATAGTTGCCTTTTGGTGTTTCAGGTAGTAGAGGCATATTGAGACCTAATCATTTCTATTTTTTTTTTTTTAATTCTTAAAGAATGACAAACTTTATGTAAAAAAAAAATTCATTAATATTTGTACTTAGAATCATTAGTCTTTCCACACGATCAGTATCTTGGTATATCTGACTTGCCTAGAAAAACCGTCATTTATCTCTAAGTAAATGATTGTTGTTTTTGTTGCTGTCAAGGGGATTTTCACACATAGCAACCCATGTGACAGAATAGAAAAGGTAAATGATAGCATGTTGTATTTGTCAAATCGTATGAAACTTGTACCAGAAGGTTAATAATGACATTTTTCATTACAATATGTTGATCTATAAAAAGCTATTATTTATCCACTTTCCAAAAGGGTTTGGGAAAAAAAAAAAAAAAGAATAGTTTTTATAAGCACACAGAATTTTTTTTTTGGGGGGGCGGCAATATTTTTAGCCTGAGTAACTTAATAGCAGGAGCTCTGGCAGGGTAGTGCCTAACCAGAAGGCTGGAGGTTCAAACCCACCAGCCACTCCTCAGAAGGAAGGTTGGGCAATCTACTTCTGTAAGTAATACCACCTTGGAAACCCAAGGAGGGGTCACTATGAGTTGGCTCCGACTTGATGGCACATAACAACAGCAACAACAACAACTTAATAACAAAACCACACTGAAGTCTATAGGAAAGTATTAAGTATCTGACCAAAAGTTCAGCGGTTTGAACCCACCAACTGCTCTGCAGGAGAAAGATGAGTCAGTTTGCTTCCATAAAGATTAACAGCCTCAGAAAACCTATGGTCACTATGAATTGGAATAGAATCTTGATGGCAGTGGGTTTGGCTTTAGTTTTTTATTAAGTATCCAAAGATCAATCATACTAGAGTCATCATTAATATTATTATTCAAGAATATTTCACCAGAACTTCTTTTTTTTTTATCTAACAGTGTTTAATAAATCACTTGAATTTTACACTTCTTTTAAAAATGCAGTAAACATAAAGGATATGCTTTTCCTTGCTGACACAAAAACAGTACTGGCAACTGTTCAAATGAGGATAAAATTCTTTTAGTTGGCTTTGAGTTTTTGAGGAATAGGTCCTAAGGGTAGTAACAGAAAAGAAATAGAAAATTAGGATGAAGTATCAGGATGGTTCTTAAGATTTCTGTTTTGAACATTCAGGGGAAAAATATAATCCATTCACTTTGAAGTTGGGTATTCAGGTCCTATGTCATCTTTCCAGCAAGGTAGGGAAGGACCCTCTATTCATCAGCCCCACAATAGAACCAGAATTTTCTGTTCCTCCAAGATGCCCTTCAGTGAAGAGGAGTGGGATTTGAGGACTAGTCAGAGCTGGGCTTGATCCTGCTTCTGCCGTTGACAGCTATGGTTGACAAGTAAAAAGGCACAGTCCGGATGTCACCAAACCACATGGCAGGCTATTAATTCAAACCCATTGAATGTCCCAAGGTAGACTGTTGGGCAATGACATGGCTACATGCAAGGTTCAAGCATGCCATAAGCTAGAGACCATTCCCAAAGCTGTTTCTTATATACGGAAAGCAGACCACACACTGAAAGCAGCTACTCAACTGCTCCAATAGCTTCCACCATGGAGTTAATTACCAATCTTACCATGGGGAATAACTACATTCAGCTGGCCAGCCACTCAACCAGGCCCAGCCAAGTTGACACACAAACTTAACCACCACAGTTTCCAAGGCTGTAAATCTTTGCAGAAGCAGACTGCCACAGCTTTCTCCCATAGAACAGCTGGTGGGTACCAATCTTTTGGTAAGCAGCTGAGTGCATTAATTACTGTGCCACCAGGAATCTTGGTATTTACCCTGGAGACCTAAAAATAATGCCACAACAGACACATGCACACCTATGTTTATTGCAGCTTTATTCACAATAGCAAATAAATAGAAACAATAGAAGTGTCCATCAATGGATGAATGGATAAGCAAATTGTGGTACATACATACCATGGAATATTATGCAAGCACAAAGTGATGGGTGCACAAAACGTATTGAGACATGAATGGCTCTGGAGGGTACAATGTTAAGTGAAATATCTCAAGCATATAAGAATAAATATTTCATGATCCCTCTTTTATGTTGTT